TAAGCCACAGCTTCTAGCAAACAACCAGGAATGGAATGTGGGGGTGAAGAAAAGGATAATGCACTATGTCCGCCTCGATGACGAGGGATTAGTCGACCACTCCTCCTTCCCCCTTTCTCCATAGGATCGGCTGAATGGGGTGGCATATTTTGAAGATATGCTGGCCCACCGTTACATTGTCCTACCCAAAGAGTCAGGCAAGTTTGACACGTGTACTGGCAGCCGGTTTTTCGAACCTCACCCAGCTGCCAGAAGTATCTTGGAAACCAAAATCATCGGACGTGCACGAAACTTGGTGACGTGTGCGAAAACGTCGGTGCAGTGCTTTGGTGACCATATTTGGGCATCGTGTGGACTGTGCCCTCTCCACATGAATTGTGTGGTGTCTTTCCTCTCCTTCGTGGGTGGAGCACCTGGACCATGGAGCGCCGTATTGGCTGAAGCCGCAGTGCGCCCAGCGTTGGCAACGCGGCGCTATATAAACGGAAGACTCTTGTGTATTTTCATGTTCTGAAGTTCTACAGTTCAACAGTTCTGATGTACAGTTTTTGACTTCTCCTTTCAAACTCTCAGTTACTAACCATGTAAATAAATTGTCGTTTTTACGAGCGCCTCATCTGACTTGTTCGACGATGGGTCCTTGGACGGGGGCCCGCTACCAAACTGACACCCGCGGGACCCGGAGTCGCAACAATGGCGAGTAAGGCAGGATTTTCTTCGTCCCACTTCACTCATGCTTGACATAAACTTCCAAAGCTGGTCTGATCCAACGAGGACACTAACACTCAACGCTCGGATAAACGACTGCGTCGGCCAGATGTTTGTCCTCTTCTGCGATGGCTTGAATAAGACGACTCTGACTTGAGGCTTCAATCATCTTCCCACAAATAAATGGCACCCTATGGCTTCAATGTGGAAGGTAAGGTTGTCGTGCTGACTGCGGAGCGTGATCTTGACCATCGTGTTCATCGATCGCCGCGAGGCCCGCTTGTTCTTTGCACGCTCCATGTCGGTCTAGCTCGAAGCGCAGCTCACCCACACCAGGAAAGACAGGCTTGGGTCGTCGGCACCAAAATCGATGTGAGAAAACCACGCTTTGGCCTTTAAAAGCGCCAAACGAAAAACACAAATCTGAGCATCCATGGTAAAAAAAGAGTGTTTGATTTGTTGTTTTCTTCTTCCTCTTTGTTCTCAGTCGTCCCATGCACGCGCTATTCGTGCAGGAGGTTCAAACAATTTACAACAGTCCCGTCATCAAGCTCTTCAGAAGGCTTCTTCTATTTCTTTTCTGTTGTTTTTTTTTTCAACGTAGTGTTTCTGTCGGATTGCTTTGCGCTTGCTTGTACTCGGCCCTAATAGCAGCTGGAAAGTGTCGTCCTCCTTGCTGCTTTCATCAGTGGCAAGCACAAACTCTTCGTCTTCAGAACTTTCATAGTACTCATCTGTACTGTCATTGAAACTGTCTGGTAAACTGAAAACTAGTTTTAGAGCTTCCTCTGGGCTCATGCGTTTTTGTTTTCTTGCATGGGAGAAGTAAATCAGCCAATTAGGCACTGGTATCACACCAGTGCACGCATGTGATTCAGTAAGCCTAACCCTGCGAGTGCGAAAACGCACGTGTTAAATGATTCATACATGCAATGGTTTTTTCCTATCGTAGGGTAACTTTTGTCGGCAATTCCATTTCTCAAAGGAATACTGTAATGCAAGAAGAAATATTTCACTTACCAGTCGTTGAATATATATGTCCTTGATATATCTTCATAAACAGGCACTCACTGACAAGACAGGAACACAAAAACACAACAAAATGTAACGGGAGCGCCTCCAGCTCCACGTTAGGGCAAGGACAGAAAACTCCACGGAGTGCTTTGCACAAAACTCGCAGATGGTGCCATATGAAAATTTCGAATATTAATTCATATGTAAGCATTTTAGAGCAAAAGAAAGACTACTCGAAAAGTGAGACTTATACTCTGTTTCAGAAGTTCCCTTCAGCAATGTGGAGTCTACAGGGCCCTTCAATCAATAAGAAAGGTGATTAGCGACTCCACATGTATTCATCCGCGCCATGTCGCCTGCTCACCGTCTTCATGGTGACTGCTCGCCAAATTTTTTATACACACTCGTGGCAGATAAGGCTGGTTTATTAACTTGAAGATACAGTAAAACTGCGAAACAAGCAGTCACACCAGGAACTTGAAGCGTGGATTTGTTGTTCTGCTGAAGATTGGTAGACGCTCATGCTGGCGATCCGTCACTTCTCCTGGCTCTCGTATAACTGCTTCTCTGCCGGTGCGTTCCTTCGCGTCTCTTGCTGCAATGCTTCTTCTCTCTCTTTTCTTTGTCCCCATCCAAGGAGGACCCCACGCTCACAAAATGCAGTATCATGTTGCATGTCCATTGGAGATGCAGCTGTTCTCGGTCTAGAGACGCAGCCCAAGCACTGCCTCGGCGCATTAGTCTTAGCAGGTGTGGCTAAGCAAGCAGCATATTTTGCTAATAACGACAAAACGTACCTGATGTTTTATCCTCAGAGTAAGATGAAACAAATCGATGACTGATTTCACCATTGATTTGTTGCTGTCAGCGCAGCGGGCGTGTACTAAGTTTGGACTGAATCGGCAGGTCGCTTCTGCATGGGCGCTGCCATGTTGATTTGTAAACACAGTTACCGGCCGTAAGTGACAAAAATAATTTCTTGCGTGTGAACTAAATGCGAAGCATAAACATATCAAATATCGATGTGACGTAACACACACCATACAACTGCCAATTTGAGTCAACCAGGTCAATTTTACGCTAATTGTTATGTGTCGGACTATGTTTTGCTGCGCAAGTGCGTGGCTTTCTTACACCTCGTAGCTTTGGTAGTGCTGAACCAAAGTGGTGAAACAGAGTATAAGTGTCCCATCATCCATAAAAGGGTAAATGTATCTGTTCATATTATTTTGGTGTGATAGCCAGTCGTGCTGACGATCGAAACAATGTTAAATCAAGCCGTTATATTACAAATTAACGATGCAAAAATGTCGAAACATAGGCAACCATGCTAAACAGGTGCGAGCGCAGGCGTCAATCAAAATGTCATGCCTTTCACTGTAGAGTGCCATCTGGTGAATGCAAGAAAAGCTTTTCTGTTTATAGCGCCGCGTAAGCCCAGCGGCAGAGAAAACAAAGCAAGAAACAAAGCGCATGGCCTCCTAGATAATGGTCATACGGCCTATTTTTACGCCACATCCTCATCTCAGAGTTCATGCAAAGCACAACCGCGCTGACAAGTTGTGCACCGGCAACGTTTGTGCACCGCATTTTGCCGCTGTGTTTTTGTTGTCGGGTTCGTCGTAGTAAATTTAGTTCGACACCTGCTGTGCAGGGTGCGTTCCGCCGTTACACTAGCTACACGGCTGCATGCGCTGGAGCATAAGAACCGAGTGGCTGGAAAACACTTTGGCGTCAATCCCTGCGTATTTGTTACTGGAGAAAACAGGAAGAGGTTTGGGCTGCAAAAAGGATTCTTCGCGCATTTTGTGGGCCAATACAATCACTCATGATAAACCACGGAAGATGCTCAAAAATCACTCTTGCAACGCCCACCTATCAGCTATTTTCTGATTTGAACATGGCACGTTCAGTCGTTACAGGGATCGCCGCAAGAGGCTGCGACTTGTCCGCACGTGTGCGTGCGATCACGCTGAAAAAGCCGTGCATTCGAAAAAGAAGAAATGCTCAAGGTCACGAGGTGTGCGTGACATATTCTATTTCACCTGCCATTCCTCCCTGCTTAGCTTTCGTCGGGAGGAAAGGAGAGAGAATGCAATTGCAGCATGCGAGAAATCTTTGTAACTCCACTTGCACCGGACGGATTCTTAAAATTTTTGCGGCGTGGAATTTGTGAGGCAATCAGCTTTCCCATCGAATTTTTTACATGGTTACTTGAAAAAGTGTTTCTGGGCCACTTTAACTTGCCTCTGGGCACAGAATTTTAGGCCTCTTTACAGCCACGTAACATCATCATAGTTCATATGTGACATACTTTACATACCACTGTGAAGTCACAGATCATAGCCACTCTTTCATCTCCTTTTCATGGCGCTCTTTGACAAAGCATCACACTTGCACCATTAAAACCTACCTATCATTATCATCGTCGTCCAAGATGCAAGACATGCGAACACCTTCGAAATGACATGATAGTTAAAAGTACCACAAGTGATTACATCCATCATATAAAATTTAGTTCTACCTGCACTGGTTTAACCATTATCTACATAATTGAATGTTCATAGTGTTACTAACAGTGCATTGGCAAAACGGTACAGCCTGTTTGTATTAGATGAAACGATCATTGCATGGACACAGCAAAGAAATTGCCGAAAGCTATAGCACAGCATTAGACTAGTAGTGAGACACAACTTAGACGATGTCATACCTTACATGCTTCAGCCAATCTTCCAGTCCGCAAGAGACAGAAAATATAGTCATATCTGATACGCAAGTTCAATGCACTCCAGCCAGCAGACATATTCATTAGAGGGCTCTTGAATCCACTTGAAATAGTATGTAATTAACGAAAACCAATGAGAGTTGGGCTCTCTTTCTAGGAATTTCAAACCTGCCAATATTCAGTGGTTCTTCTTCTGACAACCGTAATACAGCGAAACGTCTTAACTCCTCCCCACTTCCGACACCCAGGCATCCACAGTAGCCCTCTCCTTCTCCTTTGTTCGGATGGAGGGGAGGTTGCGAAGCATATACACAATAGTGCTAAGAAAACCAGTTCTAGCCTTGAGGTAGGCAAGTTCACTGGTTAAAACATCGGCTCGAGCAAGCAACCTCTGTTTATAGATTTTTTCATCACAAGCTTCCATCTTTTTCTTCCTGACATTTTGTGTACAGTCATGTTTTTTTTGGATTTTTCCAGCTTTGTATATGTTTGTACATACACTCATTCTAGCAGTAGTTATAAATGTTTAGGTAGTATTGTGTTCTGTTTTCAGGGCAATGATGCACATAACCTTCTTCGACCAGAGACATTGGAAAGCCTCTGGTACATGTACTATTTCACACGCAACGAGACTTATCGGGATTTGGCTTGGCGTATCTTCCAAGGGTTCGAGAAGTACTGCAAGGTTAGTAAGCATTTAATGGGAGCCCCTTTTTATCTGAACATAAGGTGGGCATTTGATATATGGATCTTGGGAAAACGCATGCAGAACAGCAGTGGCCTGAGCCATTAAGACTTTCTTTTATTGTAGTTCTCAAAACATCCTGCTCTGACGACATAAGTGAACTGCAGCATGACAGTTGCCGGTGTCTGACTTTGCAGTGAGCAGTCATTGATAAGAATATTCTGAAAGGCATTTAATGCTGAAAGCAATCAGTGATAAGAATATGCTAGTAGACATTTAATTGGTGCTTCTGGCTGTTCGGTATAGTAGTTGGCATTGAGGTAAATTGTCCTGCCTATGTGGGAAGCGTACCAGCTAATGCTAAATGCTTTAGCACCCACAGAGGGCCAGAGCAGCCCACCAGAGCATAAATGTCTGATGATTACAATAGATTGCATGACTTTAGCTGCTGCCACAGTTTAAATGAGCTCAAACAGTAGCTGTAGATTGTAACCATAGGAATTGTAACCATAGGACTAAAAGAAAGTGTGGCCAACTTTTATGTGCATTTGTTGGAGTTTATGCAATCTGTAATGTCTTTGGGACCTAACAGACTTGATAAACAAATAAGTAAATAAATAATACATTTGTCTCATGTGCTGCAAACTGCATCAAAGACCTGACACAGTATCATCTCCAGATTCACAATGTGCGATGTTTATCATTGGTGGAAGAATTTGGATGGCTATTTGTACAATGGTTTCCTTTAATACCAAATGTATTCCACACCTTTCTAAAGAAGTGTTGCATTACAACCTTCAAGAAATTTTTTGGCACATGCTATCAAGCAATGTTCATATTCCTTGGTCAGCTACTGCCAAAGATGCAATCTGTTGCTCTAATGTTGTATACAGTCGAATCTCGATGATACGATCATGGCTAATATGAATTTCCTAATGATACGAAGTTTTCTGTGGTCCCTGCCGAGCCCCATTACTTTGCAATGCGCTAGAGTACGTTTGTTACGAATCTATTTTCTGCCCGCGTCGTTTGATACGAATGAACGCCGCCCCACTGATGGCCGGGAAATAGAACAACACTTAGTCGCGCGCCGGAATGCGCGCTGCACCGCCGGTTTGGCATTTTGCCAACTGTGCCTGCCAGCAGCCCGTGGCGGTCTGCAACATCGGCGCGCGGCATGCGCAATATCTGAGACCTCAGAGACCGCTTGCGCCCTTTGATTTCAGTTTAGGTTTAAAGATGGCGCTGGCCACTGTTTCCTTTCTCCCTCTCTTTTTTGGTGCGGCGGCGTGGACGCGACGACGCGGCGGGCTGCGTGGGGCATGGCACAACGAGTTTGGAGCGGTCACGCTTTTGTTGCTGTTGTGCTTTTCCTCTTTCTCTGCGTGGCGTTGGACCAAGTGACTGCAGTGCTGTGCTTCGGGCCGCGTTCTTTGTGTTTGTGCCATTTCGCCTAGTCGCAACGAGCTATGTCGCGCAAGTGAAAAGCGCTCTCCTTCAAGGAGAAATTAGACATCCTTCGGAAGGTTGGTGAGGATCCTAAGAGAAAGCAGACGGAGTTGGCTAAGGAGCTAGGCCTTGCAACGTCAACACTGAGCACAGTTGTTGGACAGCGAGAGACCATAATGAAAAACTTGCTTTGGTTCAACATCAACGCAAAGCAAGCGAAGACCGCTCAGCACGTGAAACTTGAAGAGACTCTCCTGACTTGGTTTAAAGAAGTAACCGCAGCTGGCGTAAATATCGATGGCAAAGTTTTGCGGGAGCAAGCCGACGAGTTTGCACTTGCTCTGCACATCGACGGATTTCAGGCCTCATGTGGGTGGCTGCAGGGCTTTAAGACAAGGCACGCTCTCGTTTACAAAAGCGTCTGCGGCGAAGCGAAAAAAGCTGACGAGTTGTCAGCAACTGGTTAGAGATGCTGCCGTCACTTATTGCAGAGTGTGAGCCTCGTGATGTTTTTAATGCTGATGAGGCAGGTCTCTTTTTTAACCTGAACCCGAAAAGAGCCTCTGTTTAAAAGGCGAAGCATGCAGAGGAGGCAAAAAAAGCAACGAGCATATTACTGGGCTCTTGTACTGTAACGCCGACGGATCGGAAAAGCTTAAGCTGACCGTAGTTATTGGAAAGTTCCAAAAGCCCCGGTTGTTCAAGCGCGAGAGTCATTTGCCGTGCGTCTATCGCGCAAACAAAAAGGCGTGAATGACGGCGGCGTTGTTTGAAGAGTTTCTGTCACTCCTTGACAGGAGGATGGCTTGTAAGAATCTGAGGATTCTTCTTTTTCTTGACCAGTGCGCCCCCCACCCGAGGCAAGTGTCTTTTTACCCGCAAACGCGACGACGCACCTGCAACCCCTTGACGCTGGGATTATTAAGAATGTGAAGCACCATTTTAACAGCCTTCTTGTGCGTCGCCTACTCGCAAAAATTGACCGAAAGGACGAAGGTGACCCGAGAATAACCCCCGAATGCAGAGATCTTACTTGGCTCGCGACTTCAACTTAACTTGAGCAAGTCCGCGTGAAGCAAGCAGCGGACTTCAAAACGCCCAAGTCAGCCTTCGCGTTTCATAGATGCTCAGGCTGTCTTGCTTGGTCAAGTCAAGAACGAGCTTCAAAGCAGAAACACGCTGCTCGCCTGCTGACGAGAGTAATAATGAAGTTGTTCGCGTAAGGCATGCATTACAGCAAAAAAAGACCATATGTTTTAAAATAACTATAAAAACGAAGGGCCACAAGCATATTCTTGCCATTTTACCGCTAAAGAGGGGCACGTGGTGCCTGCCGCCACAGCGATGCGCAGTGTTGCTTCTGTAAAGCGTCCGTTGCTTGCTAGTTTTAGTGGCCACACAAATGCGGTGCGTTTCTTCACGGTTGCTTGTTTGGAGGCGAAACAAGCATCGCGTTGAGTTCTTTCTTTTTTTTTTTTCAATCGAACGCCTCGCCATGTATTTGTGCTGACCTGGCTTACGAGGTGACGAGATTTTCACGGTATTTGCCTTTCTGTTCGCCTGTGTGCATGCCTGTAATGGGCTAGGTCACAGTTATGAAAAAAAAAAGTTATGGGAACAAATGTGATTCGTATCCTTTTGTTGAGCTTGGTAAACAAGAGAAAAAGCGGGGGTCAGGACATTGCCCTCTGCAGAATTCTGTCTCGCGGGGTGCAGTAGTGTATCGCTGCATGATGGTGAAGCAGATAAAAAAACCCGTGATAGGGGCATGAAAGCACCCTAGACGGGACAAAAGGATAGACGAGGCACAGACACAGCGCCGAGTCAGTTTTGTACCGAAAGAAGTGGAAATTGTTGTCGTGTTTTTAAAAAAAAAACAGAAATGGCCGTTGCGCCCAACCGAAGCTATTATTACGCACGTGTGTGTAGTCGACACAGCCTGTAACACCAGAGTACGCAGCCACTTCATAAAAGTCCCGCATAACAATAGAAAGTGCTGCCGGCTGCGGAAAGCGCACCAGCATTGCGTACAGGTGCTTTGCGATGAGTAGCGTAACTTTTCCTACTGCACGACAAACTGTCAACTACGGAATGCGGATGAGATTCCCGGTGACTGTTTGGAATGTGCCAGCACCGTAAAACCAGAGAGCCATCAGTAGCTGTAACACTTGAGGCACAGGCTGTTCTCGGTTGTCCCCACTTTCACGGAGCGGCAACATACCCAGCAGCTGCCGCACGGAGTTCTTCGTGAATCTGTATCGAGCGTGGAATTGTTCCTCGGCGTACAACTCCATTGGATTTCCTCGGTCACGTAAAGTGGGTCCAAGAATTTTCGGCAGGCAGTGCGCCTCAGAAAATGCTACGCTTACGGTGAGGCAAGCAAACTCAAAAGCGGCCACCCTCCGTGCGACGTCTGTTCGAGAGGTGGCCTTGTTGGAATAACGCGTAAAGTCGCTTTCAAGCTAGCCGGCGATAGTTAAAGCGCGAGAACAAAACGACGACAGAGACGAGGACACGAAAGACACGGGCGCTCGTGTCTTTCGTGTCCCTCTTGTCTCTGTGTCGTCGTGTTGTTCTCGCACTATAACTATCGTCATGCCATACCAACTAGCCCAAGCTGCCACACTTCTAAGTTCAAGCTAGCCTTGGAGCCGACTTGAAACTTGACCTGACTTCGACCGCGCCAAGTCACCTTCAAGTCGTCTGCAAGTTTGGGAACGATTTATGGTGACCGGCAAGACTGTCTTGAGTCAAGTATGAGTCAAGTAACATCTCTGCATTTGGGGGTAATCCTTTTCGACGCCATCCATTTTATAGCTATGGCATGGGATCGGGTAACTCCGACTACCGTAGCGAACGGCTTCGGCAAATGCGGCTTCTTTGGGAGTCCAGAAGAGGTGCCCCCAGAGCCGGAAGATCCTACAATTGAGGACTGGGAACAGCTCAACGTCGAGTGCACGTCTGATGATTTTGGCACGGAAGATGACAATCTCGCCACCTGTGGTGCGCACATGGTCGAAGATATTGTTGAGGAGGCCACGTGCGAGGCTGGCGATTCCAGCGATGATGGCGATGACATAGACGTGGGCAACGACGAAGGACCACCACCGGCGGCTGAAACGCTGCATGCGCTCGGCGTTCTGAGGTGCGCTATGGCGGCGGATGAAGTCAGCGACGACACGTGCACGTGTTTTTATGCTTTCGAACAAAGTCTGCTAGGTGACCTGGTGAAGAAAAAGACAGAAGGACATCAGAGACTTTTTCATCAAGAAATAAATGCTTTTTATGTCCTTGTGCCTGGATGAGTTCATGTCTGACTCTTTGTTAATTTAGCTAGTTTTATTTGTTTCGATGATACGAATTTCGGCTAATACGAATGTTTTTCGTGACCCCGTGAGATTTGTATCATCGAGATTCTACTGTAAATGGCTATAAGGATTGTCTGCTGGCAAAACAAGCTTACCTGCCCTTTTGAGCTGTCTTTCCTTGGTTGTGCAGGTGCCTGGTGGTGGGTACACAACAATCGGGAGTGTGCTGAACACGAAGCAAACTGGCCCACGTGATATGATGGAGAGCTTCTTCCTGGCTGAAACACTAAAATATCTCTACCTGCTCTTCAGTGAGGAGGATGTACTGGAGCGGTATTCTCCAACCAGATACCTATTTAATACCGAAGCCCATCTGCTCCCTTTGTACTCATCCTGACACTACACTTCAGCTATAATTAGCATTCCCCATCTTAGCGATCGTTAAATTGAAGGAGTACTCCGTGATCAGTGTTACCGTAGGCACCACTGCTGCGTAGATTGGTGGCCATTGGCTCACAACTTGCAGTGCAGATCGGAGCTTGCACTGCCCATGTCAATCCATGCACAGCTTCAGTGGCAGTATTGTATATATGTAAAAGTGACATGAGCGTTTGTTCTTATGGTCGTGAACATGCACCTCCTGGAGTGGTTCATTAGGTCCGCCTTGAATTGCCTACAGCAGTAGTTGCCATTTATGCTGATGCTCAGCATTAGGCCAGGCTTTGGGTACAGCTGTACTGCTTGTTGCCGTTGTCTTACTTGCACAGTTACCCAAAATGCAGTTTTACCGAGGTATTTGCCCTATTGCGAAACTGCTCTACTACCTACAGCCGCTGTGTTGTTCATCAGAACAGGATTGATGGTGCCTGTTAGCTCAAATAGCAAGAACATCGCATCCGACCGTGGTATTAACATGCAGACAAATTTCATTTCTATCTTCAAGCTGTTCCTCCCCTGTACATAATCAGTTGTTTATGTATGCCACACACAAAAAAAAAACACAATACTTCAGTTGTATTTTCATTCATCCTTGCTTAAGCTCATTCTCATTTTTTTTCACTTTCCTATACATTCTACTTGGTTTGCTAAGACCACATTTTTTTATGGTAGGCCTATCAGTCCAAGCATGTAGACATTGCTTAAGAAGTGAGGGCCTTGCTTTGTCTTGAGTATTTGTAATTCGATAATTCATTTTCCTATTGACTAGTCTCTTCAGGCTTGTGTGTCAGCTAGCAAGGCCTTTATCGGTAAAGTCGTACTAAATGCGACTCCTCAAAGTCATCAGGAAAGCACAAATGCTGTAAGAGAAAGCCTAGCATATTAACCTTGTCAGGCATGTGTTCCCAGTACTTGCTGAAGCCTACCCATCAAAATATTTGTAGAAAGTGAATAAGTGCAGCCATTTTGATCAATTTCCGAGCAGGTATTACCAGCTCTCATGAGTGTTTGGGAATATAAATATGTTTTTGCTTGAAAACTGCCCCTATTAGTACAACAATTTAGGAATTTGTTTATACTGTCAAAATCATACTCCTTATATATATATGATGCTACGATGAATGGCAGACATGGCCTGGCTCATACGCCATGTGTAATCCATTGTCACTTCTTCCTCCTCGGCTTCTACCAACCGTCGCTACCTTCTTACGTCACGATTCCCCCTCCTTCGGAAAAAGCCGCCTCAGACACTTAACAAAACAACAAAAATGCAGAGTGTTAAAGCGAAAGATGTCAAAATGCACCGTAGTTCCATTTCAGAACGGAGCTCCTTAACTCGCACAAGAAATCCACAGCAGAGAAACACAGTCCGGCCATATCTAAGAGAACTCAGGTGGACGAGGCTGGCTGTTGAGTCCTGGATGGCATAACTACACCTTGGAGATGGGCACTGGAGATGACATCGGTTGAGTTCTTGTGAGGAACGGGTAAAGTTGGTAGTCTCTGTAGCATTTCAGGTTCGAATGTCGAAGTCGTCGAATTGTGTGTCATGGTGGGCTTCCACTTTGAGAGTGCGATGGTCGTGGCTGACGGCATGGTGTCTTGGTCTCTGCGTTCTACAGATGATGCCTTTTCGTCTCTTTCGTCGTTTTCCGTGGTTTCGGAGCTGTAATTGTAGGCACAGCCTTGATCTCTTGTGCAAAACTCGTTTGTGGCACCGATACCTTATGCGTATATGCCTCGCGTCTTGAGTTTGCTTTAAGAGGCTCGCTTTGCGTCGTTGTCCTTGTTGCCGTATCTGTTGGAGTGTCTTGAATTCCTGGACTCGCTTTTGCTGGCGTTGCTGCAGTTGTACTGGAACGTGCTGAGGTGGGAACGCTTCTTGAACATCATGCCGGTTTTCTTTACAAATTGATGTAGTGTCCAGTCGGCAGCTGGTGGTCTGTGGGCTGTTGTAACACTTTTCAGGCAGTGAAGTTGGTAGGACAGATTTCACTGCAGAAACATCAGAGGCGCCTGCAACAGCATTCATTACGTAGGCTTCTGGCTCCTGGTAACCTGTAAGAGATGCTTCCGAGCCTCCTGTGTTTGGGCTTTCAGATGGCTGTGCTCTCAATGGCAACACCGCAATAGGCGTGGTTGGGTCAGATTCTAGATGGGAATGACTGTCTTTCTGTGCAACGAATGATGAGAGCTCTTCTGGCGCATGAAACTGAACTGTAAATCCCGGGCTTGACTGAATATGCTCCGAGCTTCTCTGCTCTATTCCAACCATAGTGAACATGTGAGACGTGAGGTGCGCGTTGTGAGCGACTGAAGATCCACGTGGTGGAAAAGCGGGAGGTTTGTCAATGCGTGAAGGCTGCTTTTTACTGTGATAGCCGAGTGAGGAAGCTGGGAAGCGATACCAGGTGAGGCTTGTGTTTTCCGCAATACATGCTTGGTAACATTTCTTCTGTAGAGCACAAAAGGCCGCTGGGATCCATAGTGGGCGGAAAAAAGTATACTATGAGAGATATCCTGATTGTTCTTTCAATTGTTGCGCGAGAGTTGCTAACCAAATTCCTCGCAAGAGTTACTAACCGAATATACATCGGTCAGACTGGTTTATGTATCAACACGTGCCTCAGAGAGCATCAAAATTAATTGAAGTGTTATCTCATCGCACTTCACATTTTCAGTTATGCAGTTTCATCTTTGACGGCATGATAATCTTGCACAGTCCCCCTAACCAGACGAGAGAAAACTTGGAGACATATTATTAAGAACACCGCACCTTGCTCAAATCAATTAAATTTCTTCTGTTACAGCAATGGCGAAGGTTAACTTTATTATTCAACTGTAAACAGGCTCCTCGGTTGTTAGTCTTATTGTACCTATTTGCGACATGCGCAGTGCACCCCCATTTTGTTAACACTTACAATAATTTTTCAGTCGTGACTGAGCAATTCCGGTGTGCATATTTCTTTCCTGGTGTACTTTCATTTTGCCCTGTAGGCTTGATTCCAACCTGGAGTTACAGCACCAAGGGAAGTCGGTAGATGCATACGGTGCGAGCGGCGCGCAGTGTCTAGTCAATGTCTAGTCGACGTGTTTTACTTTGCGAAATTGTGTCTTTCTCTAAAGGACTCCTTGAATATACCAGAACCGCGCAATTCACTCGTAAATAGCATCGAAGGACATTGATTTCTAATGCATCTGTGAATTTATAGACAGTGCTTGTACCATCTAGCAACCAAGTTGTATAGTTTCTTTATTTATGCCGAAAATAGACTGACGCCACAGGATAATAATAACTAACTTAGGCTTCGCAGCCACTCGGCCGGTTGAACAGGGAGACGAGTGCAAATCTTAGACAGGTCGATGCACTTAAACACTGAAGTTATTTAAATGTTATGGGCATTCATGCGCTGCTTCTTGCTCTTCTAAGATTTGGTGCGCTTCGCCGGTGGTGGAGAGTCGTACAACAAGGACGATTCGCTGTCGCAGTCATTTTCTTCCTCTAAAAATGACTGGAAGTGAGACGCCTGGACTTGCGTATGACGGCCTTCGGTGACATCCTTGGTGTGTCTTCCTTCGTCTTCTTCTTTACTGAATTCTTTATGTCCTTCACGGGCTTCTTCACTAACTGGTAGTAAGTACTCAACTCGCTGCAACCGGATTCAATGCCAGAGTCTTCTATTTGCACAGACTCTATTACCGGCGATCTATTTGTCTTCTTAATTTTCCCGCCCTTGCGTTGTTTCTTCGTTGAAAAGACCTCCGGCTTTTTTTTTTTTTTTTTTTCAGAGATTGTCAGGACTGGGGCTATTATTCGCTGAATCCCCTTGCATTCTCGATGACTCGCTGCACATTTCGCCTTCCGAAAGTTCACTCGCACAGTCTTCTTTATCGCTGGCAGACCTCAACGGACGCTGCGAGTTTGTTCCCACGTTCACGTTCTAAGCTTCGTTCTAATCTGGTCGCAGTTTGTCTGACATGTCGTTTGCAGGAGCTTCAATGTGACCCTTCATCGTTGCAAAATTGACGTCAGCTAGCAGGCCAATGTCCATTATTTTGTGGGCACCTGCCCCGCAGTGTTTGTCCTCGATCTGTTGCTTCTTAATGTTTTTCTTGTTTCCTGGAGCCAATTTATAATTCCGAATGTTTGCAATGTTGATCATTGGTTTCTTTTTTTCAGATGGTGCTTCGATTTACGTTCTATGGTGGGCGCAGCGTTTTCTTCAGATGAAGCCAATGTCTTCATTTCTTCGGTCTTGATATCTTCTTTGTGGGTGTATCTGGACTTCGCTGTCCTTCTTTTCAGCTTGTTAAATACAGTATCTGAGATAGGGTTCCCTGGTTTACCTGCAACATCGGTGTTGGAGTCTTTCGGACATGGGCCTCCTCCTGTGGCGGCGGAAGCATGGTCATCGAAAGTTGACGAGGGATCACCTTAGGGAGAATCTTGTTTCGAACAAAGCGGTCCAGAAATGTCCGTCCTGTTGGTAATGTTTGTCGTAGCATGCTTTTTAGCCTCTCTTTCGTCTCAAGGTGTGAGGGAGGACTCTTCTGGGTCGGCCTTTTCGGCGATCGGTTTCTTCTGCGCGAGACTGCTTGGAATAGTTCTTCGTGGTACATTTTTTGTCTCCTTCTCAGGAGACAAAAGTATATATATATGTATGTATATATATGTATATATATATGTCTTTGGGCCTCCTGTCAGCACACATGACAGGAGGCACAAATACATGTCTCAGACAATTAATTGGTTTATTTCATACAGAAAAATGTTATTAGCACATGCTGTCCTTGCACGAGACCATTAAGATGAAGACGTTGTCTCACTTGTTGTGGACAATATAGAAACAGTCATTCGTCGCCGAAAGACACACGAAGACATTGCATTTCCTGCACCGGACTCGCGTCCTTGACCTGCAGCCTTCCAACTTGCAACGCTGAGTAAAACTATTGCCTGTGTGTGCTGGCCAGTGGTGTAGGCCATCATACCGTACGGCATTTACAGGCCGAAGCTCAGCATTGCGCACTTTTCTCGGTGGCTCCTTGGCTTTGTTGCTTGGTCGACCGCATTTCTTGGCACAATTCTTGAGAGACATGATTAGCGCCAATCCCACGTTGTTCTGAAAAGCTAGAAAGTCCAGGACTTCCCTGCATGGGATGGAGTTGTCATTCGCGTCGGTCAGGTATTCTTGCCAGCTATTTACAAGAGCAAATGATGTAAAGTGAGAAATTACTCGCACTGGCAACTTTCTCGTTCGTTGTTTTAGTGGGTTCAAGGACAGCAAGAAATCCATCTTGTCGACTCCGCCTATTGATTTGTTGTACTTGGTGATAATTTCTGGGCATGGTATGTCAACATGCTGCTTTGTGCACTCACTTCACCGCCTCACAGTTGTTGCCTCCCCAACACCCACGAACGTTGACGCAACATTCACGATGCCATTGTCCTGCCACCTTGCAGTTGTTAAATCACCTCCTTGAGTGAACCTCGCATCTATACTGCCGCGTCCTTCCTTTTTTAACACTTTGTCAGGCTTCAATGGGTATCCCTGCAATCTGTTGCTGCACATAGTGCCAATGGCCCAAATGCCCATTTTTCTGGCTCCTGGAGTAGCTGAATAGATCTAAAATAATTGTCAAAATACAATTTGAAGTTCTCTTGTTTAAAGAGACCTTCTACCAACCTCATGACAATAGAGCCACCAAGCCCAAGATGCTTGTGCTCGGCAGATGTGCCAGAACCTTCGCCTTGATAAATCTCAAAGTCGTGTGCTATCCAACTGGAGCTGCACCGAAGAAACACTTTCACCCCTTCGGGGTTTGGTTTTTTCTGAACAAATTGTTTGGCCGCAACTCTTCCCTGTGAAGGGGATCATGGGATCATTTGCTTATCGATGCTGTTTTTTTCAGTCGCTAGGAAGCACCTCTTCCTTACAGCATCAAGTAGCGGTCGTACCTTCCAGATGCGAACCAGTATGGTTCGCATCTGGCTCTGTGACGTGCAACGCTGACCGCAACCTGAAAAATCTGTTCACGCTCATGGCTTTCGACACGCTCGGTACTTGCTTGGCAGGATTCCAATACATCCTGATGCGTGGAAATTTCAGG